CACTGAGTGACCTGCATAAACACAGAAACTGAGATTTTGATGGTGGTATGAGGCAAGCTTAATATTAACAAATTTATCAGGAGGGGGTCACAGGAAAGCAGATGCTGAGTAGGGGGGAATGGCGGGAAACATGGTGTGCCAAAAGATGAGAAAGGAACAAATCAAAAATGTATGGATGACTCAGAGCTGGCAGAATTTGAGCAGAAGAGCTGCTGAACTAGTTTATTTAGAATGGGGAGGAGACAGGAGAGAAGCATTTCCATTGACAATACCACATATACATTTCTCAGCGAGGAGAAGGTGTGATTGTTGAAATTTGACACATTATCAGCTCAGAAGGTTTGTGAGGGAAAAAAAAGTCATGATATGCCATGATGGGATGGACAAACAGATGAGATTTAAATTGCCTTGAGCATTGCAGCACAATCCACTGCCTACACTACCTGCCAGTTGCTTGGGTCAGGGTGCAAAGAGATACATAAGAGCAAGACCGCAGAGGCATTTTGCGTTCCCCCTGTTCCTCTTCACATTCTATTTTTGCATGACACTTTTTATGAAACTGAAAACATTGGTTCAGCTTCAGGCAGCAATTTTAGGGTCAATTGCTTCTTCACCAGACACTGAAATCACAATTTGTCAAGCATCAAATTAACTGTGAACATTTTAGGGGACAGTGAACTTGAGTTATGTATTATTACTGGGTCCCCCTCCTCAAAAGCCTATCTGCAATCTCTCTTGATATGGCAGGTACTTTTTTTTCTTTTGCTAGAATCACACTTTAAGATGAACTCCGCAATTGCACTACTTGCTTTTTGCTCCATCAACTCATTCCTGACTGTTATGCACTCTCCAGAGTCCAGATCTCAAGTGGTGGAATACGCTTTCAAAACCACGCAAAGCATTTTATCCATTTATCACAAAAGTATATCAATATAGGTTTTCCAGCTGAAAGCATTTGAAAGTTTCCTCAAAACTTTTATAGTTCAGCTTGGGCCTGTTCCTAATCCACAGACAGGGTAAAAGACTCATCTGGCACCAGCACACCATGAAATAAATAAGCAATAAAGCAGTAATGAGGTTAGCTGTCCAACAAAACACCAAAACCCACGGCTACGCATCTTTCCCTAATACTGTCAGTACAACGCAGAACAGCTACAGGCCTTGGTGCTGCAACTGATTTCACTCTGGATCCAGCTGAATCAAACTGGTATTTAAACGGCATTCCAGCCAATGCTCCAGTGGTCTAGGAGAGATGGAAACTACTGGAAATTGGAAAGACATTGTTGGGAATGATGTCAGATTTTATGCCACCTCTAGTAGCAATTCTAGGTGAGAATCAAACTTGTATATTTTTACTCTTTACTCTGTTTACTCTTAACACTCGTTAAAAAGTGAATACAAAAAACGTGCTCTTTAAAATGGAAAAAACTGTCCAGGAACATTCTCCAAATCTGTGCATCTTCAGTTAATCTAAATGAGAAGGGATATTTTGTATCAAGATGGGATGCTCATAAAACTTTTGGAAATATGGTAGTTAATATGAAAAATTATGAAATAAGCTGTGAAGATTTTCCATTTAAGCAATGCATAACGTAAAGATGAGTTTGGTTTGTTCAGCCTCCATTTCAGGTCTACAGTCCTACCTCCACAGCCTGCTATCTGACATTGAAGCACCTGTGAAAGCTTACCACATCACAAGCAATGAGCTATACAGCTGAAAATTCCCGGTTGCCTTCAGTAAAGCAAAGGGAACATTAATCAACAGCAGTACCAAAATCTCCCCTTTAGCACTTGGGTTTTATATTTCAGGGATACCTGAGTGTCACCGAACACAAGCTGTGGTAAGCCCTCAGAAGGTGAGGAACTTCAGGTCTTAGCAACATTTCGTAGGTTCATCCAAGAACATCTATGAAAAAGCCATACACCTGTATGTGAATAAATATACACATAAACAGAGTATATGTATGTAAACACATACAAGTGCATACATACATATATATATAAATCAACTATAATTAATATAAAGAGGCTCATCACCCAGCAGGTGGCACTCATAACCTGAGCTCCTGAGGCTGGAGTGTGGTGGGAGGCTGGGAGCAGGCACTGCTCAACAGGAGGCACCACCGTTATGGGAGGTAAAGACACCACGGGCAGGAAAGCATTCATCACTCTTTTGCAATACCTGATGTGTCAAGTCCAGCATCTGGGCCAAAATCCCATTCAGCTTACTGGCCAGGCATCCCCTCCATTAATTCCCTCAACAGCTGTAAAACTCCCCCTTCACTGCTGCTAATTCTCAAGAGCTCTTGCAGCCTTTCCAAAGGAGCAGTATTTTGTGGACTGAAGGGTCATGGAACATTTTTGATGTAGAAGCATCACATTATGATGTCAAGAACAATACAATTAAATGTAAATCTTCCTTCAGACTTCATCACTTCTTTTCTCCATTTAACACACCCAACTAGCTTTCAATTAGTCCCACTAATAATTTGGGCTTTTGAAGATCTCATGAATGAGCAAATCAGAACTGGCAGAGGAAATGCTGTTTTCCTTTGATTAAAATTAAAGTCTTGTTTTCTCCCATGACTTAAGCGTCACTATCATATGTACATTCTTAATACACCTCCTTCTTCAGCTGAGTGGTGCTTCAAACTTCAGCTGAGTGGGTTTGTTTTTAAAAAAAATATTTTCTTTTCAAATTCAATATTCCACCCATTTCCCTCCCCTCTTAAAAAAAATAAATAAATAAACAAATCAATTTAGAAGCATCAATTTGAAGGCATCGGCTCTGTGTGGAGCAATGCTGTTCCCTGTAAGAGAATGCTTCGTGTCAGATTGAAAGATACCTTTCCAAGGTCATTTCATGTTCCAATGGGTTTGTTATGAAGTTGTGGAATGGCAGATAAGGTTGCGTGAGATAGTAAAGTGCCTTCCTAAGCTAGTTCTGGGCAGTAATGTGCAACCAATATTTGAGCAAGGGACTTCTATAACATTTACCTCTGAAATAAATGTCATATGCTGAAATAAATGGTGCTGCAGGAAGGACAGGAATAGTACTGAGATACTGATAATCTGTTTCCCAATTAAAAAAAAAAAAAAAAACAAAGAAAAGGCCATTTTCTTGACAGATTGCACTAATTGCAAATGTTTATGGCACTTGGCAACAATTGGATGCTTCTAGGAACGTGTGGGGGCATCTCTTCAGCAAGTTAAAATACTCAACCCTGTGTCATAAGAAGAATCTGATATTAAAAACTGTTTGATTCAGAATCAATAGTGATGCCTCCAAGTTACAAGAACAAGGATATTACAGCAGTTCCCTATTAGGTACCAAAAGTAATAATTTGCAAGGTTAAAAGGGGAAAAAAAAAGGCACATATCTAAGAATGTTTCTTGGAAAGTCCTGTAGTTACACATGAGGGAAATGATGATCCAGTATTTTTAGACTGCTTCTAACAGAACCCAAAAATGGAGAAAACTATATAACAGTATCCTCTTAGCAAGCTTTTAATACTGCCTGAGCCTATCCCAAACTCTGAAAGAAGGTAAGCATCTGGCAGCACACTGAATTGCGTGCCACCATTTCAGCCATCACACCAGGGACTAAATCCTTCCCGGGAAAGAAGAGAGAAACAAGCAAGCAAACTCCAGAGAGACAGAGAGAAGGGGGGAAAAAAATCCTCCTCACAAATGGTTAGCTACATCTTAATGAGGTTTAAAGCTTGACGAAGGATCACCCATTTGGAATACAAAAATGTAAGCATTTAGCATCGGAACAGCCCTAGCAAAGGGATAGTGGGGGGGGTGTGTTTTTTCAAGTCCCAAATGAGCATCTTGTGGGTCTAACAGTCTGTCCGGAAAAAATAAGAAAAATGGCCACCCAGCATTGAACTATGCACAAAATGCAGAGTTTCGGCGCTTCCAGTTCTGCATTGCACCCTGCGCTCCCAGCCCCCCGCATTCCCACAGGCTCCCAAACACCCCTGGCCCCCTCACGCCACTGCCCACTGCCGAGAAGCGGGGGACTACGGGTCCCTCGGCGCTATCTGCAACCACCTCCGGGTCTCTATTACTCTACTACTTTTAATTTTCCTGCTAGTATCACTTTTCTAATGAGCTGCTGTTGCTACAGAAATTTAAGTATCGCCAGCTGACTAGTTCGGGTTTTTTTTTAAAACGTCCGAAAAGGCAGAGAAATGGGGGAGGTGGGGGAACACCTCATAAATATCCACTATTAAACATTTTTAATGCTAAAGCCGCACTGACCCTGCCGCCCGCCCGCAAAACCTTGCGGCTTCCTCAGGACTGGCCCCAAGCCTACGTTAAACCTTCCCCAAAATTGGCTTCAGCGCCCATCAGCACGGGCTAGGCTTACCAGCGGATGCTCCCCGGCCGCGCTCCAGCTGCGCGCGGCGCAGCGCGGCCCCTGCGCGCCCCGCACCCCGCCCCCGCCGCGCACCGCCCGTAACTTTGCAGACGCCGCCGCGTCCCAGCGCCAGGCGGAATTTCCGCGGGGGCAGAAAGGCGGAAGGGCAGCTGAGTGACAGGCTCCTGCAAGAGCTGTAGCCCCGCCTGCGGCACTCCCGCACCGCACGCCCGCCCCGCGCATCCCGCGCCGCGGGCGGCAAGTCCGCCCGCGCCGGGGCAGGGGCGAGCGTGGCGAGGACCCCCGAAACGACCCACGGCGGGGCGAGCGGGGCATGGGACAGCCCACACGGCCAAAAGCAAAAACGCGGAGAGGAGAATGGAAGCAGACGAGAAGGCGCCCCCGCGCCGCAGCCCCGCCGCCCCCAGCCCTTCCTCCCCGCGCAGCGATGTGCGGCAGCAGCGCGCCCCGCGGGGCAGCGCACGCCCTCGGCCCTCCCGCTGACCTCAAGCCAAGGACAGCTCGGCGATCCCGCAGCGCATCGCGACTTGCGGGCCCCGCTGAACCGCGCCGGGCCAGGCGGCAGCAAGAGCGACCAGAGGAAGCGAGGGGAGCGGGGCCAGCAGCTCCTCACCTAAGCACGCCCCGGTTGGTGCTCTCCGCCGCCGCTGCGGCTCCTCCCGCTCTCCGCGGAGAAGGCTGGCGCGGACAGCCACCAGCTCGCCGAAGTTACGCGCCGTCGCGGAGCCGGGCTCCCACCTGCAGCGCCCGCCCAGACTCCGCAACCAACCAGCACGGCACAGCACCGCACGGCTTGGCTCGGCCCGCCCCGCTCCTCCCCATTGGAGCCGCCGCCGCTCCGCCTCCGCCCTCCCGGAGCAACCGCGGGGGCGGAGGTGGGCAGAGGGGTCCGAGACCCCTCTGCCCGCGGATCTGCGGTCGGAGCAGGTGAGGAGACGTGAGAGGCATCAGCTCCCCTTGCCAACCCCCAACTGTCCCTGTTTTTTGGTGGTTTTTTTTTTTTTCCCTTTTCTGGGGAATAAGGAAAATGCTGAAAGCGGATCCGTGACGTTACTTTATGCCATCGCTTCGTACGGTTGGGCTTACAGGGAGCCCGCTGCCTCAGCAGTCGCTGAGAGGCTCTGATGCAGGCGCTGCCACCCGGTCCGAACCATCTGAACATGGTCTTTAATGCCCCGAAAAGGCAGCGGTAGCCCAGGCAGGATGTCACAGGGTCAGCACTCCGTGACAGACCCAGGGAAACCGCAAACTTCTGTGCAACAGTTAGAGGACAGGGCCGAGTGAGAAGCCTCGGGGCTTCCTAGGCAACGCTGCCCGTAAAAAAACCTGAGTACTTCATCCTTTCAGTCTCCTTCCCTCAACAGCCCGTTGCAATTTCTGACTTTTTTTTTTTCCTGTTCAATTTATAGGTAGCACTTGCACGAGTGTGTTCTAGACAGAGAAGGACAGTGTATGGGAACTGAGGGATGGAAACAAGAATACAGCTGCGCTGGTTGGAGTTTAAAGACAGTTTCCAGATAGTGGGAATCCCCTCTTGGATTTGGGAGCAACCACCTTGAAATTTTGGAGAAGGAGGTTGCAGCTCTGGCAAAACAGCTGTCCCAGGAGGGGACGTCTTCAGCCACATTTAGAGGTGAAGAGGATACCCACACAGAAGTGAGAATTTCCTGGACCAAAGCACAGCGGGGAAGAACCCAAACCACTCACGGCTGACTTGTCTTGGGCAAAGCGATTGTGAGATGTCCAGACGAGGGGAAGTGTTCCCAGACCAGCCGCTTTGGGTGTCATGCCTAAGTCATTAACACCAAGATTACACCTGACCCTGCCGAGGTCTGTAAGTCACGTCGAGGCTGACTTATCCTCCGTGGGAGGCAGCCAGAGTCGCCGCATTTAGAAAGCCTGCTGGCTATGCAGAGTCGACACTTAACGCCCAGCAAATCCCTCTGCTCCGCGGCAGGGAAGGCCCCGGAGCCAAGCAACACGGACAGACGGGCTGTGTCCCAAAGGCCACGGTGCAGGCTGCAGTAGGAAGGGCTGTGGCGTCCTTTGGCGTGCGGCCAGCAGCTCCTGCTGGCACCTCTGCCTGAAGTTTGCCCGCAGCACAAATAATTGCTGAGATCCACCACATGTAGTCTTAAGAGTTCAAAGGATACCCGTGGGGGAGAGCTCCTTGGGGGGGGGGGTGGGCACGGTATGTGCCAGCTGCCAGTGGCAAAGGTTAAAGTTCTGATGGGGAAATTTTAGTTCAGCACACAAGATAATTTTCTATGATAAGTTATGCTTAGGTTAGCTCAGCGAGAACATTTTGCTATCGAAGAGAGTTTTTGTGTGGCAAGCAAATTTCCTGGGTGCTTGCATTTTTATTTTTTATTTTATTTAACTGAGGATCTATGTAGAGTTATTGACTTTTACAGCTTTGCAAATTGATATGCAAGAGGGGATGGTCTCAAAGACTCTGACTTCATTCTTTTGCTGTTTGGCAAAGCATTCACAGAAACTAAAGTCCTGTGTCTATGTCAGGATGCACATAATGAGGTGAGAGAGCTGGGATGTGACCCTGGCCAATGCATCAGGTGGCTCCAGCTGAGAATGGTGAGGTCAGGCTTCCCAGCAGGAGCAGGGCTGCGAGGTGAGTGAAGCTGTGAGCACCAAAGTGGCTTTGGTCGTGCCACACATTGCTATCACATAATAGACTGACAGTGCATCCCATAGAATAACGAGTTTCTTAGCTGTGCTAAGGTCAAAGTGGGCTCTGGGAAGGAACCAAGTGTGTAGCAAAAGTGCTGTAAAGTGAGTGCTAGGGGTGGCAGGGCTCCTGGGGGAAGATGGTGCTCTGCCATGGGTGGCAGCAGGTGCCTGGGTCTTTAGGGTAACTGGCTTCAGGTAATTCCTAAGCAATTACCCTGCCCTGCTTTATTGGACAAAATGGCTGAAGCATATTTTGTTCCGCTGATGTGAGAAAAGGCCGCGTCAGTCCCTGTTGGGGAGGCATTAATTAAAGGAACTAATGGCGAGTTCCTAAAATATCCATCGGAGTGATCAGGATGTCTGCTGAGAGAAATCTGACTTGCTGGGCTTCAAGTTGTGCCAAGTCATTGTGTTAATCAGGAAATGAGGGTGTTCTGGGGCAGGTAAAACAGAAATAAATCATACTGACCCTCCTCTGGTACTTTCTGCTCATATTTCCAAAGCAACATTTTGGGAGGTGGCTTACATACGTTCGTTATGTCGCTACTTAGTAGGATGTAACAGCTCTGAAGCACTTTTTTTTTGCTTATGTTGTGGTTAATGCTTTCAGCACACTGTATAGGAGTCTCTCCTTACTAAAACTACCATCCTAAGCGCCCATCTCTGAAACTTCCCTGCTAAGTATCCCTTTCAGGGACTGCATTAGAAGAATGTTAACCTAATTTATGGTAACCTGACAAGACAATTCGTGGTAATAGGTGATAAAAAGTTGAAACCTTGTGACAGAGGACATTCGTCTCTGACCATGATATCATCATGGGAAGCTGCAGAGGTCTGACTCAGGAGAGCACAGACCTTGTGAGCATGGGATGATGAATGAGGGGAAGTATTTGCAGCATCACTCTAAAGAGCCATTTATATCAGACGGGATCATTATTTCCACACATTCCAGTAGTTCCTAGTGTGGACTGGCCTCATATATCCAAACTTTTATGGGTCCTCTATATTATTTTTGTGGCAGTGGTGGGTTTTTGACTTTAAATGAACCTAATTAACAATGCTTCATCTATGATTGCTTATTAAGGCATTTCCAGGAGATCAGATGGTGGGAGAGGAGTGGCTGGTGGTCACTCCATTTCATACTCTGAAGGAGAACTCCAGCCTGAGGGTTGGAGTGCTTTGAGGATGAGGCCAGAGGTACAGATTTACAATTAAGTTTGTGTTCACGTGAAAGGGTTAATAAATACTACACTAATACACTGTGCAGATGGTCTTTTCTTTGCAGAAGCACCTTTCTGAATGGTCTCTGCATCCTCGCCATCACAGGCACATCAACTGCAACATAGGCTATTGGCATCCTCTGCCCCCAAAGGCATCTTGCAGACCTTCCACTGTGGCACCAATCCTCACTTGTGTGCTGTGAAAATCTGTTCCTGAAAAGTTTTCTGGTCTGACAACTTACCTGCTTACAATAAAATCCAAGGGCACTTGTTTAAATACTCTGTTTCCAGTAAATGAAACTACACCATAGAAGCAGCTTTGCCCCTCCCTGGTCATTTTAAATCACAGGGGTTTGTTAGGGGAACCAGGGCAGTGTTCGTTATAATTTGTCAGCCCCTGAGGGTTGCTTTCAAATTGGAGACCATTATTATCTGAGATTAGAGCTATCCCCAGCTTCATTTTTATACTATCATCAGCAGACATGAGTTTAAAAGACAAAAAGACAGAAAGAGGCAGCATCCCTGCCACAGCAAATACATGGTCTGGGGACTGAAACAGATTTATTGAAATCAATCTGCACTTTACCATTGATTTCTTTGTGCAGTGAGGCCTCTTTTAGAGCTTGTCAGCTTTTTCTTGTAAAGCTGAAATGAGACTAACCTGATGTAGAAACACTGAGGATTTTGAGGTGATACCTCTCTGTCTCTTTCTCTCTCTCTCTCTCTCTCTTTCTCTTTCTCTCTTTCTCTAGACTTCTGAGACACTACAGAATAACTTTTATTTAAAAATATGTTTATCACATTTACTGAAGGTGTCCAGGCTGCCTAAAAATATACATAATGCATGCAAAATTCAATTTAGCATTGGCAGGGGACTTGACCAGATGATATAACTGGTCATTTATAACCAGCTATGACTGTAATTGCATGTCCACATTGTGCTGTTTAAAATCTTAAATTCATCCCACACCATATTTTCATTTAGTGAAAGGAATTTATTTTAGCATCATTCTTTCCCCGTGTCACAGGAGCAATTTTTCGCTGTTGATAAGAAAATGTCATTTTTTGTTTAAAAATTGCAAATGACAAAGCCATTGCCATGTCTCCTGAGCTTTTCTTATTTATTGATTGTCTCCTTATTTAGTAATTTCAATGAATTTTATAATAATAACAATCTGTAGTGCATATCTATCAAAATGTTCAGAAAAGACTTCAAATAAATTTTTGTGAATTATGGTCTCATCATATGAAATGGTGCTTTTTCAGCCTCCATAGCTTGGCCCCTGAAAAGAATAGCAAGAAATATGCTGTTTGACATTTTAAGTGGACTGACAGACTTCTGCAATGACGTCACTTGCTTAGTGGATGAATGGGGAGCAGTGGATGCTATTTACCTTGACTTTAGAAAGTCATTTAACGTTGTTTTTTATAAGACCCTCATAAATAAGCTGATGATGTACAGGTTAGATAAGTGGACAGTGAGGTGGACTGAAAACTGTTTGAATGACCAGGTCCAGAGTGTTGTCATCAAGGGCAGTGGGTTCAAGGGGACAAGTCACTAGAGATGTGCACAAGGGCTCAGTGTTGGAGCCAATATTGTGTAACCTTCTTATTAATGATCTGGATGATGGGGCAGAATGCAAATTTGCAGATGAAACAAAGCTGGGAGGAATGGCAGATACACCAGAAGGTTGTGCTGCCACCCAGAGGGACCTTGACATGTTGGACAAATGGGCAGATAAGATTCTTGTGTAGTTAAACAAAGAGAAATGCAAAGTGTTGCAACCAGACTTAAACAATCTCAGTACAGAGTGGGAGCTGATCAGCTCGAAAACAAC